AAGAATCTAAGTGGAGAAAAGCAACAGAGGACTTCTAGAGATTTGACTGGACATCTCCTTCAGGCTCTTACCAAGCAGGAGAACTAGCATCTCCCCATTCTTCCCAGAGCATAAGAATCACACCATAGCAGGGACTGTCCCTTGTCTGGCAACCTCAGGTTGTGATGACCCAGGGTGGGATACAAAAGCAACAAGTTCACAAAAACAGGTGAAGTCCCTTTAATTTCTTCAACTTGGCTTCAAAGCTCCAATTATCATTGACTGGAGAAAAAACTCCCCCACAGATATTTGCAAAAAGGAAGAACTTCCATTCAAACTCAAAATACATATAAATTATAAACAGAAAAAACAACAACACAAACTACACTGAAGCAATTAATGAGACAAGGCAGGATAAGGTCTTGAAGAGTCCACAGATATCAAAATACATGCACTGGGAAGGATGCCAGAACTCAGATAAAAATGGAAAGAGTAGAATTATTTTATGCTTTGCTTCCAGCACTGGGTCATGCGCAGTTTGTCCTTTTAAACAGTCCTCACAGCTACAGTCCATGAAGAGGTTCAGGGCCCTTTCCTCCCCCGTAGAACATGCCATTCATGTTTCTCCCTTATCCTCTCTTCCCTGCGTGCCCTAGGATGAAGAGAGGATGGGCCTGGGTCTTCCTCTGAATGCTCAGCTGGCCTATGCCCTTCCCCAGTTTCCTCCACAACCTCCAGAGCCACACTCCCACTCCCTGTCCACTGTTCCTCCACTCCCTCGGAGTCAGACTCCATCAGGGATATGACACAGGTCTTCCCAGCCAGCTTCCATAACTGATGCGGAAGCAAACATTAACAATGAGAATGCAGAAAAGTCTCTTCCTGCTTATTTCAAGTTTAATGTCTTCACTGGGAAAAAGGAAGAAACAACAACAACAAACCAACCAACATGGCAACATTAAGGCAGCAAAAGAGACTTCTAACACAGAGAAACACTTCTCCTGGCATAGTAATGAGGAGAAAGTGCACTTCACCTTTGTTATACCAACCACTTCTATCTTCATTTACAATTATTTATAGAGGGCACTCAAATTCAGTATCATCCAGTGTAGGCACTTGAGCAAACGTTTAGAGTAGTCCTCTGCATTTTAAGTAAGCTTTTCTATGCTGGAGTGGTTCCACAAAAACAAAACAGACCCTCCTTTCCCCTTCCCAGGTATAGGTAGGGTTTGACAGTGTCTTCTCCAGGATCTCTCTCATGTTCTGCTTGGCTTCAAAATAGCAGCTCCTGAGAAGCTTTGGGACTCAGCCTACTTGTGATGTCCCAGGGACAGCACAGAGATAACACACAAACAGCTGGCAGTTCAAACCATCCCTTTATTGCTCCAAATTTCCCCAAATGCTCCCATGTTTCTGGCCAGTCCCAGAGCAAAGTGATGTCAACTCCCCACACACATATCTCAAGCTGCATATAGTCCAGCCCAGCGCCGTGTACACCAAGGCTGCACAGCAATAAATCCAGCAGGGCAAATCAAGGCATTCAGGAAGCAAAGGATCCAGGTAATAAGTCCAGAAAGCCAGAAAGAATGCACGGACTCTTGGGAAATTCAAACATCAGCATTTGTTCTCAACAAATGCCCCTTTCCACAGCGTCTCCTTAAGCCTCATTCCCCAGGTGTGCCTTGTGAAGATGGGCCGGGCACTCTTCTCTTGAGTAGCCTGCTCAGTCTGCATTGTTCTCACCTTCTCTCCACTCTCCGTGCTCTCGAATCAGGAGGAGGTGGTCCTTGCTCATTGCCTGAGCTCTGTCTCTCTTGTTCATCCTGCCCCTGTTCCTCCCTGTCTATAAGCTGTCCTAATCCTGAAAGGCCCTGGCCTGACTAGTCCTGCCCTTCCCCATTTTCTTCCAAAGCCAAAGAAGCCACCCCCCGGATCTCTGTCACCTCAGGTTCCTGCTCACCTTCCCCTGCAGATTCAGGCTCCGACAAGGGCATAACACTACCCCTGTCTTCAGGATAGGGGTACAATGCTGCCGATCAATTGGTGCACAACTCTCCTTTGACTTCCCTGCTCTGCCTTGATCCTCTAAATTCAGATTGTTCTGCAGAGGACACATTCTTGCCTTTGTTCCTTGAGGAATACTTGCTAGCATCAGCATTTTAATGCCCCTGATCATGCACTGAATTAAACACACATGCAGAGGGAAGAGAGGGTCATCCATAGTTCAGCAACATTGCATGCCAGTGCATAAAAATAGCTATTTTTACACAAGGAAGGAAACACGAAAAAGCGATCCCACAGATGGGGAACTGGAAGAGGCAGTAGACAGCACTCAGAGCGACTTAATTCCATTTAGTTCTTTACAGAGTTCTGCTGACACGCAGCCACATATCATAACTCTTAGCAATCTGGCACAATCACAAAGAACAATATTTCCACTTTTACCATTTTCTGGGTATGCTTTTCGTGAGTTTCTTCAAGCCCTAAGTTTAGTTGATTTGGACCAGTGGTGTGTTTCAAAATTGTCTACTACCGGTTCAGTGGGCATGGCTTGGTGGGTGCACTTTGCGTGCACTCACTTTGCGGGCATGCATGCACTAAACACGCACTTTACACAGGTGCAGAGGTGCTACAACTCACCTCCTGCAAGCCTGCACTCTCCTGGTTGCTTCAGTAGCTGTTGCGCGGCACTCTGCTGTGCCGCGCAAAGCAGCTGCACTTCAAAAGCAGAGGATAAAGCTTAGTATGGGAGCCCAAGCAGGTGGGTGGGCCTAACAGCAGAGAGGTGGAGAGAACCAGATCGGTCCCTGCTGCTCATCACCACTACAGGCTCAGCAGAACTGGGCTGAACCAGTAGAATACCACCACTGATTTGGACCCTCTCTATCACAGAACATGGTTTATTAAGAGCTTTTCCAACTTTTTTCAAACCGTGATCAACATCAATGTCTCAATGTCCCTTGATCATGCTAGTCTTGGATTCTGTCCAACTCTGAATTGGAGACTCCATTCCAGGATCTGCCTATCAAGCTCTCCTTCACTCCTAAAGACATATCTGGGAGAAAGACACCATCAACCTGTATAACAAGAGGAGGGCAGACTGAACTTAGCATTGCACATGATCCTACCCAAAACACCTAGAACTATTTTTTATCTCCACATAATTATTAATTTAACCAACTTTATTTATGCTTCCACTTTCTTACCCCTTCATGTATTCCTTCAGAGTACTGAGAAGTTGCTTTTTCATGGGACTAATTTTTGATTTCATGAACAAGCAAAAATTCAAGTATGGCACAGAATCCCCAAAATGCAGCCAACCCCCATCTGTTTGACTGAACAGAAAGGGTACATGGAAGAAAGAGAGTTCACAAACTTGCAGGCAAAACTATCCTCTACTGATTTTAGCAGTTTCTCAAAACCAGAAGGGTGCTGACCAGACAAACAAGAGACAACAGGATCTAGAAATTGCCTAAAAAACTATGATTGTTTTGCCTGCTTCAAAGATTCATCCAGGCTTGCTCCATACAACGTGGTTAAAAGAAATCGGGTATCAGCCTTATGTGCAAAGCAGTATGAAAAAGCTGCCGCAATAATCTCTTACTTGTTTACAGAAAGGACTCTGAGTTATTTTCTGCTAGTAAAGCAACAGTGGGATCCTACCAGTTCCACTACTGGTTCAGTGATCACGCACGTGCACCTAACGCATGTGCACCTAACACATGTGCACCTAACGCATGCGTACCTCATGAGCACACACCTAACCTAGCTTTCTACACACCAGCTGAGGCCTGCAGCGCCAATCAGCTGAGAGGATAAAGAAGAGAAAAGCGCAGGGGCGGCTGGGAGGGCCGATCCTGCACTTTTCTCTTCTTTCTCATCTCAGCTGGCTGGAGGCTTTTTTTTTCTCCCTCCTCTCAGCTGATTGTCAGAGCTTTTTACTACCAGTGTGGGTGAACCGGTCTGAACCGGTAGCATGCCACTATTGTAATAAAGTGATCTGATAGTAAATCAGTGTGAAGCTTCACTGAGTATTTGCATTATCTATCTATCCAGCAGGAACTATGGATAGGGCTTCAAGAGAGAATGGACTTCTTTTGCAATGAATCCAATCAATTGCTCAGGCAGATGCAAAGAAACATCTTCTCCCCAACCTTACAAGTAAAGTTTTGAAAAAGACTTTGTATTCTGGAAAGAGTTACATTTCATTTCTGATAAACAACTCAAGAAAAAGAATAATATGAAGAAAAAAGTAAACCCAGAATGTTTCCTTGCAAAGCAGAAAAGATCTACCAGAAGACACCTTTTAAGTTGGCCAAGACAACAAAAACATCTTTAAAATACAATATCATCGGTTGAGTTTCCTTTGCCATTTGAGGTAACTCCACCTCTAACCGAGCCCAACCAATCAGAGTTTGGCTGTATAGTGAATGGCACTAGATATTGGCAAAGCAGAAAAGATCTACCAAAGACACCTTAAGCTAGCCAAGACAATAGAGATGTCTTTAAAATACAGTATCATCAGTTTAGTTTCCTGTGCCATTTGAGGTAATCCCACCTCTAACTGAGTCTGGCCAATCAGAGGCTGGCTGTCTATCATCAATTGCGTTTCATCAGTTGAGTATCATCAGTTGAGTTTCCTCTGCCATTTGAGGCAACCCCACCTCTAACCGAGGCCAACCAATCAGAGTTTGGCTGTATAGTGAATGGCACTAGATATTGGCAAAGCAGAAAAGATCTACCAAAGACACCTTAAGCTAGCCAAGACAATAGAGATGTCTTTAAAATACAGTATCATCAGTTTAGTTTTCTGTGCCATTTGAGGTAATCCCACCTCTAACTGAGTCTGGCCAATCAGAGGCTGGCTGTCTATCATCAATTGAGTTTCATCAGTTGAGTATCATCAGTTGAGTTTCCTCTGCCATTTGAGGTAACCCCACCTCTAACCAAGCCTGGGATAATCAGAGGTTGGCTGTCTAGTGAACAGCACCTTGCCATCAGCCCGAAGACTCCATACTTACTCTTGAACAGCTCTGGCTATTGAGAGGGCCGTGGATCCAGTCTCATTCACGCTATCCAAAGTCACATTGGGCAGGTCATCATCGTCACTGTCGCTTTTAATCTGCCTGGGAGACAGGCCACGAGGGTCCATTTGTGCTGGGAATAAAAAAAAAACACAATTGATTAACAACACCACTGTGGCATTAATATTGCCCTGTAACCAGAGGTGGTATTCAGCCAGTTCTGACAGGTTCTGGAGAACCAGTAGAGGAAATTTTGAGTAGTTTGGAGAACTGGTAAATACCACCTCTGACTGGCCCCATCCCCATCTATTCACTGCCTCCCAAGTCCCAGCTGATTGGCTGGCTCCTCTTTTGTTGCCTTGAACAGGAGAACAGAGCTGGAAAGCAGGTTAGTGGGGTGGGAAGGGAATGGGGATTTTACAGTATCCTTCCCCTGGAGTGGGGTGGAAATGAGGATTTTAAAGTATCCTTCCCCTGCCACGCACACCAAGCCACACCCAACAAGCCACACCACGCCCACCGGTAGTAATAAAAATTTAATACCACCACTCTCTGTAACAACATTAAGATGGGCATGGTCCCTCTCTTCTGCATATGCCATCAATGAATTTCTTATTCTTGTTTAGATCTCAGGAGCAGCTCAGACGATTTTATTAAAAGGACATATAGTTTAAACAATGAAAGTTGTGAGTATCTACAGCCAGAAATACAGTCTTCCCTCCTGGCCCTTTGGAAAATAAGTTGACCCCCTCTTCTTTGTGTCAGCCCCTCAGATACTGGAATACTGCTATCATGTCAACCCTAGTCCTTCTTTTCTCTAGACTAGCCAAACCCAAATCCTACAATTCATATTAAATGTAATTAATATTAAACAGTCAGGCTCTCTCTCCAGTGTGGGGAGGGGGGATAACATTCAGAACCAGGAAGTAGCCCAACAAAATGGCTGCCACCCCCACGTGAAGGTTATCCCTTTCTGTGATGAGAGAAGCAGTAACAAACTTCACTCAAGCGACTAAGGCTTTTAGCACATCTGCAATCCGACAAAAAAGTGCAGGCCCACAATAATGGTTGCACAATGCAAATATTCAAGCCACACAAATATTAGACTAACTGATCTCAATAATGAATCGGTCACCATGGGTCAAAAAAAAGTTCTTCTAGAAGTTGAACTCCAGATCTTGACCCAATGTTCCTATTTCTTTTTCCTTCGTCAACTCTGAGCATAATGTGCTTCTCCATTAGCACTATCATAATGTGCCTCTCCGTTAGCAAGTCTTGAGTGCTTTCCCCTTGCCCCCCCCTCCCCATTTTTTTTTTGTAAGTAACTAAATGGCATGGAATGAGACTCTAAGCAACTAAGTTTGTGCGTCATTCTCATGGTATGACACTGCTGCCCTGGAATTAAAACACAACAACATACAAACAAACACAAATGTGCTGCCTTTTCGCTAGTGTCCAAACCAGTTGTTTATGAATGCAACTGCTCTTCCTGTAGTAGGACAGGATCATCCCTGTTCTTTAGCAAATTTAAGGGTATCTTCAATCGGAGGTCCTCTCCCTTGGCAGAGGCCCTGTCTATCAAATTTGTTTAAATGACAAAGATAATAATGTTTAAGAGGTAAATGGTGTCGTTGCCAGGAAGCCTGCCTATATAGGGTAGAAAAACACAACTGATATATGTGAGGGGAGGAAACAGGAGAAGATTCCTCGTAAGAGTTCCTCAAAGATGTTCAATGAGTGATGAATATTTGGGAAGAAGGGTCTGCCTTGGAACAACACAAAGGAGATGCAATGTCTAGAATTTAAGATGATGATCAATCAAAGATTGTCAGTTCAAGACCCAAGTACGGCAAGATGGGGTGAGCTCCCATTCTTTCCCTAGCTCCTGCCAACCTAGTAGTTCGAAATCTTGAAAATGCAAGTAGATAAATAGATACCACTTCAGTGGGAAGGTAACAGCATTCCATGCACCTTGGCATATAGTCATGCTGGCTACATGACCATAGAAGCCATCTTCAGACAACATTGGCTTCCTCAGCTAGGAAATGAAGATGAGCACCACTCCTTAGAGTCAGACACAACTGGACAGGGGAAACCAATGCCTGAATTGTAACCAAAACTCCCTCCATGTTGCTTGCTTCCCTTCTATATATTCTGTGGGTTTCTGTGATTTGAAAACATCAGACAGCTACCATAAACCTCAACTCTTATTTAAAAAGAAAAACATCTGGTCGAGTCAACCTTAGAAGGTTACAACATTCACATTTTAAAGGCAATTTTGATGTTTTTTTAATAGGTTGGGTCAATAATGTCAATTGCCTAAACTAACCTCAAAACAAATCATGGATTTTTAGATTTGTTGGGTTTTTTTTCCTCCCTATGTCCTGTTGCGGAATGTGGTTAGAAACCTTTGATTCATAGCAAGATGGGGGCATCAATTTTCAATGTTCTGTTGGCAAATTAAAGGCAAAGAGCAACCTTCAGCACTGAAGTCTATTTGCAAACGATATTCCATCAACTTCATCACTTAGCTGTGACTTTAAAATGGCAGCTATATTATCTTGCCCTTTCCGAATTATGCAACTAATTATGCAGTAAGCTTGTTAATGCCGCAGGATTATCGTTTCTTGGACCTGAATGCTGAATATTAACCTTCTGTTGTGCAGAAGGAAAGCGGGGAGAAGAAGAAAATTGCCGGGAGGATCTGGCACAACTCTAATGGTGTGCTGTGTGAACAGCAGTCTATTTCGGCTCTTATGTGTTTCTCAATCTTGGCCACTCTGTGAAATGTAGACTTTGACTCCCAGAATTTCCCATGTTGAAGTCCACATATCCCCAAATGGCCAAGGTTGAAAAATACTGTGTCAAAGCTTTTAATGGACTCGCCACACCTAAGAAGATCAAGGTCTTCATAGATCTCCTAAAGAGAATGACCAGGTAGAACATAGAACATTAGAGTTGGAAGGGATCTTTGAGGCCTTCTAGTCCAACTTCCTACTCAAGCAATAGCTCTTAGACTTATACACTACTTTATAGTGCTTTGACAGCCCTCTCTAAGAAGTTTACAGAGTCAGCATATTGCCCCCAACAATCTGAACTCTCGTTTTACCCTCCTCGGAAGGATGGAAGGCTGAGTTAACATTGACCTGGTGAGATTTGAACTGCCAAATTGCAGGCAGCCGGCTGTCAGCAGAAGTAGCCTGCAATACTGCACTCTAACCACTGTGGCTCAGTGAGTCTCTATACAGGAGTCCCTATACCCATGATGGGGAACCTGTGGCAGGTGAGCCATCGCCCCAGATCAGGTGCATTGCGCATGCATGCGCCTCCCACCAGCGAACTGATTGTCAGGTATCTGCTGTGCATGCGCAGGGGTTGGGGCACACATGGGAGATGGATGTGCATGTGCAGAGGCAAGAGGTGCATGTGGGGGATGCATGTGTGCATTCTCAGAGGCGCACGGCACATGGGGTTGCGTGTGCATGCACAGAGGCACACAGCACACGGGGGGGACACACGTGCGTGCACAGGGGGGGCAGGGGGGTTGCGCACGCAGTTCATTATGGGTGCAGGCCCTTTCGGCATCTAAGGATGAAAAGGTTAGCCATCACTGCTCTATACCATTTCAGACAAATGGCTGTTCAGTTTCTTCTTAAAAGCATCCAGTGATGGACCACCCACAATTTACGAAGTTGAAGCTTTGAGGTATGCTGGGGGTCTCCTATTTAGGAAGGGAGAGGAAGGAAGGAGAAAGAAGGGGAATGATTGACCAATGAGAAGTATATCAGGGGAAAAAAATCAGTGTTGGAAAAATTGTAGGTAGCTTCGTGGTTTGTCACCTGTTGGATGTTTTGTGAGAAAGTCCTCATCCTCAAAAAAATTCCTAACTAGTTGGTGCTCCAAAATAGATAGAGAGCAGTAGACACTCGTATGGGACCTCCATAGCTCACATTCTACTCATGAAGAACCCTGAGAAGATGGCCACACTTCTAGTTTTTCTTCCACAGCTTTTTAAATCTCGAAGGCTCCATCTGGCTGGGAATTCAAATTCTGGCCAAACATCCCCAGTCTATGAATTGGTGGAAGCAGCTTTTATGAACCCTGCCATGCAGCCTGGGCACAATCCTTCCTGCTTGCGGTGCTCTTCAGTTCTTCTGCCTTAAACTCTGGCTTATGTCTTATGCCATATCCCTTCTGCATTTTAGTGCCCCTTTGCCCCTTTCAGATCTTCTGCTCATAGGAGGACCATATGCCTGCTAAGTCACAAAGGAGAGTCTTTGTAAATGTAAACACTCTGCCCAGGCAGAAATCCAAAATCTTTCCAAATGGTCAGAGTTTAAGAAGCAGCTAGGACAAAAAATAAACAAACAGAGTGCAACATTATTTGGATGGGAAAGAAATTGCATCGATTCAGTTCTCACTCATTTTTTGGGGGATTTATTTTTTATTTAGACTCATTAAAGGTAAAGGGGTCTCAATGGCTTAGCAGCTGAAGATGCTGAGTTTACCAGCGGGAAAATTGACAGCCCGGGTTTGAAATCCAAGTGCCGTGGGACAGGGTGAGCTCCTGTTATTTGCCCCAGCTCCTAGCAGTTCGAAAGCATGCAAATGCAAGTAGATAAATAGGTAGGAAGGTGGATTGTACATAGAGGTTCCATGGGCCTCCAAAGTCCATTCCAAATCTATTCCATGGGCATCAGCGTATAGTCATGCTGGCCACATGACCATGAAAAATGTCTTTGGACAATGCTGGCTGTCTCCGCTAAGAAATAAGATGAGCACTACCCTCTAAAGTCAGACATGACTGGACAAGGGAAACCTTTACTTTTACCTATGCCTGATTATTTACAGAGAAAATTATTTTTAATTGTAAATACTTTGTCCAGATAGAATTCCAAAATCTATCCAAATGGTCAGGGTTTAAGAAGCAGCAAGAAAAACAATTGGAATGCAACATTATGTGGATGCATTATTTGGATGGACTTGAGAAGAAAAGAAATGGCACTAATTCTCACTCATTTAACAGAATAACAGAATAATAGAGTTGAGAGGGACCTTGGAGGTCTTTTAGTCCAACTCTTTGCTTCAGCAGGAAAAACCTATACTATTTCAGACAAATGGTTGTCCAATCTC